AATAAAGCAAAATAAAAACTAGATGTTTCTTTACATTTAAAAAAGTGTCTTACAAGGACATGATTATTAACAAGCTGCATGTAAAATGTGTACAACTTACACACACGGTTACTGGGTTACAGATTTTTAAAGCTGTGCTCAACTTCTGTAACGGACTGTAGCAACAGATCTCTAACCAGGTGCCCGGCCAGCCTAGATAGAGTCAAGGTTTTCTCTAAAACTCAAACACTGAAACCAAACCAAAGATCAGAAGTGGACGGAAGACCAAGACTTTCCGCCAGAGTTTATAACAGACTAGCTGTACCCGGCCACGCGTTGCTGTGGCGTAATTTGAGATAGTCTTTGATCCCCCCCCCACCCCCCACAACTAAATCCACCTAGTACCCTCTCCCTCATCAAAGGTTTTTAGAAAAGAAAGACAATGGAAATCGCACCTGTCTAATGAAGTTAATGACGCAGTCAATGTCTGCGCCGACGTCGAGATAGTCCTTGATTGCCCCCCCCCCCCCCCCATCGAAGGTTGTTTGAAAAAAAAAAAAAAAGAAAATAGAAATCGTGTTTAATATGGTTATTGTGGCAAATATAGAGATAGTCTTGTTTGCTGTACCACGACCTACTCTATGTATTAGTATTAGAGAAGGCGTTGGCTGCACGTAACTCGCCGGCGAATGGTAAATACGGCGCATGCGCAATTACTAACGTGGCTATAATTAGAAATCACTAAAGTTATAAATATTAGTTGCGTATATTTTTGCATAAATTGTGGTCACCTATCTCTAACACTGACAGGTTGAATTTCAAACCAAGACGGTTCAAAATCCGGTATCACAACAAACATATCCTGAAAATTTCAGCTAAATCGGTTCAGTAGTTTCCGAGCCTATAGAGACCAAACAAACACACAAACATTGATTTTTATATATATAGATAGAAGAAGATATATAGATAGATAGTCTGGTTTTCCAACTTTAGAACACGCACCATATAATTGTGTCTTTATATTAGTGGTCGTTTAAATGGTGTTATTAGCACGGTAACAAAAGTGGTTATTTGGTTATCACATGCTAAAGCTGTTTGTATTTTTATAGGAGACGGAAGTAAAGCTACAACTGTACTTGTAAATAACAAAGTAAGTCGTAAAAAAATAGAAAAGCGGAGGTAGCGTTTGTAAAATATAAACAAATTAGGTAATGAGAACTTGAAAATCACGTGTAAAGCTCTTTAAGTTCTCTTAAATTTAAGTCATTACCCCCCCCCCCTCCCCTCTTCCACCGACTACTGCTCTCTCCCTCTTCGAATGATTTGAAAATCACTAACTGGCGATATTTTGTTGTTGCTGTAACTGACATTGACATCCCTGTCCATCTGGACTAAAATAAGGAGCAGGAATTGTAAAAGGTAGTGAATAGGGCTAGTGAAATATTTACCACATCATCCTTCAAGTACCAGTACAACTACTAAAATAATGTCACTGCTATCTGTGTTACCATCGGAGTAGACAGAGAGTCGTGAGCCAGAAGATTTGGTTCCGCATGGCTAGTGCTGTCGCCACAGACTGGTCAGGTTAGGATGTATAATTTCACTTGCCGACAGAAGAACGCCATAACCTTACCGGCGGTCTTCACATGAGAGCACTATGGTGTAACAGCCCAACCACAACTATTACTGCAGCTGCTACTTTAATTGGGTAAAGCAGTTACTGTGACTTAAAGCTCTCTCAGTTAATAGTTTGCCACCCCCTCCCCCCAAATTCACCGACAACTCTTTCCCACATTGAAGTAGTTGGGAGAAAAAAAAAAAACAACACTTAAAAAGCAAATGAACACAGGAAAAAAACACCATAATTAGGAAATGAACGCCATTGTAAAAAGCACAGCTTAAAATTCCAACACAGATGAAATAACTAAATCTAAATGAAAATAAATGAAAATCTATAAAATTTCAGCGTAACCATGCAATCGGAAAGTTTAAAAATGCAATCATAAGTATGCGAAATGGTCAAATTTAATTATCAAATGGTTTACCCATTTACTGGTTGTTTTTTTTTTTTTTTTTAATATTAAGGCAACATGGTTAGTGCTGTCACCACGACAGAGCAGATGAGGATATTATTTTAGTCCGGGGTAAAAAAAAAATTTAACTACTGCGGATTCGAACCTAAGTCTACCGCACTTGAACCCAGTGTTCTAACCATTCGACCAAGCAGCCACTTAATCGGAACAACGAAAAGAGAACACAACTATTAGACATATGTGTCCCTACCACTGTGTGCGATTAAAACACAATTCAAAACCGCAGGCAATTGTTTTCTCGTAGACAGATACTCCAGATATATTAATGAAATAGAAATCGCACGTGTCTAACACGGTTAATGAAGTTAATGTCGCAGTCACTGTCTGCGCCGACGTCGAGATAGTCCTCGATTGCTCCCCCCCCCCCATCGAAGATTGTTTGAAAAAAAACAGAAAATAGAAATCGTGTTTAATATGGTTATTGTGGCAAATATAGAGATAGTCTTGTTTGCGGTACCACGACCTACTCTATGTATTAGTATTAGAGAAGGCGTTGGCTGCACGTAACTCGCCGGCGAATGGTAAATACGGCGCATGCGCAATTACTAATGTGGCTATAATTAGAAATCACTAAAGTTATAAATATTAGTTGCGTATATTTTTGCATAAATTGTGGTCACCTATCTCTAACAGTGACAGGTTGAATTTCAAACCACGATGGTTCAAAATCCGGTATCACAACAAACATATCCTGAAAATTTCAGCTAAATCGGTTCAGTAGTTTCCGAGTCTATAGAGACCAAACAAACACACAAACATTGATTTTTATATATATAGATAGAAGAAGATATATAGATAGATAGTCTGGTTTTCCAACTTTAGAACACGCACCATATAATTGTGTCTTTATATTAGTGGTCGTTTAAATGGTGTTATTAGCACGGTAACAAAAGTGGTTATTTGGTTATCACATGCTAAAGCTGTTTGTATTTTTATAGGAGACGGAAGTAAAGCTACAACTGTACTTGTAAATAACAAAGTAAGTCGTAAAAAAATAGAAAAGCGGAGGTAGCGTTTGTAAAATATAAACAAATTAGGTAATGAGAACTTGAAAATCACGTGTAAAGCTCTTTAAGTTCTCTTAAATTTAAGTCATTACCCCCCTCCCCTCCCCTCTTCCACCGACTACTGCTCTCTCTCTCTTCGAAGGATTTGAAAATCACTAACTGGCGATATTTTGTTGTTGCTGTAACTGACATTGACATCCCTGTCCATCTGGACTAAAATAAGGAGCAGGAATTGTAAAAGGTAGTGAATAGGGCTAGTGAAATATTTACCACATCATCCTTCAAGTACCAGTACAACTACTAAAATAATGTCACTGCTATCTGTGTTACCATCGGAGTAGACAGAGAGTCGTGAGCCAGAAGATTTGGTTCCGCATGGCTAGTGCTGTCGCCACAGACTGGTCAGGTTAGGATGTATAATTTCACTTGCCGACAGAAGAACGCCATAACCTTACCGGCGGTCTTCACATGAGAGCACTATGGTGTAACAGCCCAACCACAACTATTACTGCAGCTGCTACTTTAATTGGGTAAAGCAGTTACTGTGACTTAAAGCTCTCTCAGTTAATAGTTTGCCACCCCCTCCCCCCAAATTCACCGACAACTCTTTCCCACATTGAAGTAGTTGGGAGAAAAAAAAAAAACAACACTTAAAAAGCAAATGAACACAGGAAAAAAACACCATAATTAGGAAATGAACGCCATTGTAAAAAGCACAGCTTAAAATTCCAACACAGATGAAATAACTAAATCTAAATGAAAATAAATGAAAATCTATAAAATTTCAGCGTAACCATGCAATCGGAAAGTTTAAAAATGCAATCATAAGTATGCGAAATGGTCAAATTTAATTATCAAATGGTTTACCCATTTACTGGTTGTTTTTTTTTTTTTTTTTAATATTAAGGCAACATGGTTAGTGCTGTCACCACGACAGAGCAGATGAGGATATTATTTTAGTCCGGGGTAAAAAAAAAATTTAACTACTGCGGATTCGAACCTAAGTCTACCGCACTTGAACCCAGTGTTCTAACCATTCGACCAAGCAGCCACTTAATCGGAACAACGAAAAGAGAACACAACTATTAGACATATGTGTCCCTACCACTGTGTTGCGATTAAAACACAATTCAAAACCGCAGGCAATTGTTTTCTCGTAGACAGATACTCCAGATATATTAATGAAATAGAAATCGCACGTGTCTAACACGGTTAATGAAGTTAATGTCGCAGTCACTGTCTGCGCCGACGTCGAGATAGTCCTCGATTGCTCCCCCCCCCCCATCGAAGATTGTTTGAAAAAAAACAGAAAATAGAAATCGTGTTTAATATGGTTATTGTGGCAAATATAGAGATAGTCTTGTTTGCTGTACCACGACCTACTCTATGTATTAGTATTAGAGAAGGCGTTGGCTGCACGTAACTCACCGGCGAATGGTAAATACGGCGCATGCGCAATTACTAATGTGGCTATAATTAGAAATCACTAAAGTTATAAATATTAGTTGCGTATATTTTTGCATAAATTGTGGTCACCTATCTCTAACAGTGACAGGTTGAATTTCAAACCACGATGGTTCAAAATCCGGTATCACAACAAACATATCCTGAAAATTTCAGCTAAATCGGTTCAGTAGTTTCCGAGTCTATAGAGACCAAACAAACACACAAACATTGATTTTTATATATATAGATGAACGAGAAGAAAAAGACACAAACAATTGAACAGACAGATAAAAAGGCCAACAGATAGACATCTAGCAAATTCTATGGCTTCGTCGAAAACATTTTAATGCAGCAATTATATTCTAAAGCTATCGTGCGAATACGCGTGAGTGTTGTTATCACATTTGTTGACGCTGGAAATATTCAACAATTGCTGAAATCTTCGGCGTACAACTGTCGTAAAGAACTGGACACCTCAGCATCGAGTAGCTACAGTCAGGGAGTGGTCAGTCTCAACGGACTTGGCGCCCGAGCACAGATGGACACTGAAACATGTATTGGCCTCAGTGTAATATTATTATTAATATTATTATTATTATTATTATTGAATAAAGTAAAGGTGCCTTTACGGGCTAGTGGCAGGCTGGGCAAATAGGGCTAGACTCACATATTTGTTATAGACCACCATCAGGCAGGCCACCTTGACTTCCCATGACTTTACCTAGTACCCATGTTTGGGTAATAAAAAAAAATATGGCTGCATGTGAATGTTCGACCCACCATCTCCTGATCCACAGCGAGCGTCTGGTCACCACATTATAGCAGCTAACAATTGTATTATTATTATTATTATTATTATTATACATATTATATATTAAAGTGAAGGATTCATTTATCCAATCATGATCTATACTGGGCGCATGATGCCAAGGCAATGAGTTCATGTCAGTGGGACTAGATGCATGAAGTGAAAGTCTCGCCCGCTGCCTTTTCTTCCCAGTACATCTTCTGGTATTCATTATAAACTGGGTCGACCAGAGCAGAGACCAGTTAACAATACTTTTAGGAACAGTGTCGACAGTCGGCCATGCTAGTCATTGGCTTCTACTATCTTCTACAATAATAATATAATCATTTCCTTTAAACCACAACAGGTTGGTGAGTGTGTGACAGATTGGGATAGCTGCACGCGATAGCAAAGGGTAGAACGAACTGGCGTGAGTTGGTTGAGGGCCTATGCTCCACCAGGGGCTAGAAAGGCAGAAGAAGAAGAAGAAGAGCGTGTTTGGTGGTGGTAGCATTAATAATAGTTACAGCAGAAGTATCAATACTAGTTGTGGTAACAGTAGTAGTTGTTGTCGTTGCTGTTGTAGCAGTATCAGAAACAGTGGTAGTTGTTGTCGTTGCTGTTGTAGCAGTATCAGAAACAGTGGTAGTTGTTGTCGTTGCTGTTGTAGCAGTATCAGAAACAGTAGTAGTAGTTGTCGGTGCTGTTGTAGCAGTATCAGAAGCTAAAGCAGTAGTAGTAACAGCAACAGTATCAGCAGTAAAAGAATAAGGAGAAGAAGATGAATACAGGATGAGAATATGGAGAATGATGAGGAGGAGGAGGAGGGAGACGAAGAAGGAGAAGAAGAAGAAGAAGAAGAAGAAGAAGAAGAAGAAGAAGAAGAAGAAGAAGAAGAAGAAGAAGAAGAAGAAGAAGAAGTAGAAGAAGAAGTAGAAAAAGAAGAAGAAGACGACGACGAAAAAGAGGAAGAAGAAGAAGAAGGGAGGAGGAGGGAGAAATCGACATTTGTCCAACAGACTTACTCTACGCCAGCTTCCTCTTGGTAGACATCGATTTCGTCCAGGTACAAGGTGGGGTGTCGGAGACCCAGGATGTTCCAGTGTAGGGGGTCGGTTAGCGAGGAGGAGTGACTCCACGAGAACGTCACAGACTGGACACTGCCGACGTCACTGGGCACCAAGACGTAGAACTTGTAGGAATACCCCGGTTTGAAGTTCACTGGGTCGCTGGCTCTGAAACAAAAACAGTGAATTAAATAATTATTTCCGAAACAATCTCAAGGAGTTTTCGAGATATTTGTTAATTAAAAGTTTGAGGGCAGAACTTTTGGGAAGGACTATAGCAACGGTTACGAGACATGCAGAATGGCGATACACTGAAAATATTATTGGTAGAAGTGGACAAAGAACCACCAGAAATGAACTGAAAAAAGACATCAGAGAAAACAAATCTAAAGCTGTTGTTAAGGAGAGTGACCTGTTTTCTGGATTCCGTCAATAATGTTAGGTTAGTTGCGTATCCTTTACAGGACGTTGCAGAACCAACCCAGCAGCCCCTGACTGTCGTGTAAATTTACGTCCAGTAGTTCGCCATTGCCTTTTCACGGTCAGCGCCCTGATACCACTGTCGAAACCAACGCAAGGCGCATGTCCCGCAACTAGGATCTAACCCGACATATCGGTATTACGAAGCGTTCGCATCGACTTAGCCACAGAACCGACCCGTCAATAATAGTTTTAATTTAAAGAAAATTATACACAAAACAGACTTTAAAAGTGGGATTGCCTGCTAGCTCTACGTAACGGTGCACGAAAAGATGCTAGTGGTGGCGATAATGATGATGATTTTGTTGATGAAGGGCAATTGGTGTGAGACTGCATGTCTCCTCGGCGCAGAGCCGTTGGCGGGAAAATTAAAACAACCATCAACAACCTGCAAGAGGCTTGAATTGAATTTGAATTGCTAAGGGCCTGTGCGATAGACTTGTTTACGGTGTGTCTTTGGACCCCATCTGTAACAATGACAGATGTATTATGTGAGTCTACTGACGTCATCTGTAACACAGACAGGTGTATTATGTGAGTCTACTGACGTCATCTGTAACACAGACTGATGTATTATGTGAGTCTACTGACGTCATCTGTAACAAAGACAGATGTATTATGCGAGTCTACTGACGTCATCAGTAACACAGACCGATGTATTATGTGAGTCTACTAACGTCATCTGTAACAAAGACAGGTGTATTATGTGAGTCTACTGACGTCATCTGTAACAGAGACCGATGTATTATGTTAGTCTACTGACGTCATCTGTAACAGAGACCGATGTATTATGGGGTCACTACACGGCATTTTTTTCAAATTTATGACAAAAATATCACTTTTTCATTTTTTTCGTTTTTGTAAAGCTCGGCTTTCGTACAATAGATTACACACACAATTTGTGTCATTTGTTAAAAATTTAGCATTGAAAAGTTAATACTAAAGGCACCAAACGATGCACATTTTTAAGATAAAAACAAATAATTAAAAGTCAGTTTTCTCACATCTATATTTCTGTTTAATGTGTGTGTGTGAAATTATAAAATCTCAGCTAATATAAAGACTAGAAACATGAAATTTAGTAAGAATTCTCCTTAAACAATATTATAGGGACTAGTCTTTTTAAAAGTAGATTAAAAAAAAAAAATTTCAAATTTTCTCATTGTCTTTTGATGCAAGATTATTTTGACTTTTTCAATAAACCTACATTTTAAAATTCTACGAAAAAATATTTAAAAACATTTTTAAAGTCAATAAACTATACCTGTACTTCTAAACATGACTAAAGGTGACGAATCTATCATTGATTGTTTAATACGTATGTTTGTTTCGAAAATTTTAGGATTCTAAGTACATGTTTTTTTCTCCCCAAGATGGCGGCTATTGCCGTGACAACCATTTTTTTTTACACTTAAAGTAATAACATGTATGCCTTCAAATGACCATTAAAAAATAATTGCTCTAACTCTGTAAATGAAATTTTTTTTTTTTTCTGGTGTAGTGATCCCTTAAGTGAGTCTACTGACGTCATCTGTAACAAAGACAGGTGTATTATGTGAGTCTACTGACGTCATCTGTAACAAAGACAGGTGTATTATGTGAGTCTACTGACGTCATCTGTAAAAAAGCCAGGTGTATTATGTGAGTCTACTGACGTCATCTGTAACAAAGACAGGTGTATTATGTGAGTCTACTGACCCCATGAGAGGTATACTGCCACTGCTGCCCTTGTTCCCATTCACGACCACAGAGACTGTGCCCCTCTCCTCTTGGCCCCGTCCGCTAGAGAACTTGAGGGTGAAGTCCAGATGATAACCTGAATTTGACCACAATCAGCTCAGTTATGTAATCATAGGAATCACACAGATTCACAAAGAATGATTTATGCATACAAGTTCACATCTATGCACTTAGTAATTAAGATAATAGTATAGACTCACTCATGAATTCATACACAAATTCACACCTACATTTAACGAAAGGTCGGATTTAGACTCGATGAGGTCCTCATTTATAAAAGCCACTAGGCCTCTAATGTTTTAAATGACATCAGTTGTTGCCAGAAAAATTTAAAATATATGAGTTAATAAAAGGTGAAAGTTGAAATATATCAAGCTGATTATTTTATTCAACTTCAATAGGCTACTTCTTCTTTTTTAAGTCCGTGCCGTGTAGCGTCGGTAGTCATGTTTATCCACAACCTTCTGTCCCATGTACTTTCAATCAACACTGACACAGATGATCTTCCATAGACCATGCCGTGTGGCGTTGGTAGTCATGTCTATCCACAACTTTCTGTTCCATGTACTTTAAATCAACTCAGACATAGATGATCTTCCATAGATCATGTCGTGTAGCGTCCGTCGGTAGTCATGTTTATCCACAATCTTCTGTTCCGTGTACTTTAAATCAACTCTGACACAGATGATCTTCCATAGACCATGCTGTGTAGCGTCCATCGGTAGTCATGTTTATCCACAACCTTCTATCCCATGTACTTTCAGTCAGCTCTGACACAGATGATCCTCCATGCTGTATAGCGTCGGTAGTCATGTTTATCCACAACCTTCTGTTCCATGTACTTTAAATCAACTCTGACACAGATGATCCCCTAGACGCCGACATATTGCAAGTGGAGGCTCTACAACGGAACGAACCGGGGATTAAGAAGATCGCAACAATGAGACGATATCAGAAACTATCATTTGTCATGCAGTTGGTAGACCCGTTGAAAGTTGGATGCAAGACATAGTTGCTGAAAACAGACATGTGAGAGGCGGAGTCTGGTGAGAAAGCATAGTTTTTGAAATCATCATAAAATTACATCAGTTGCACGAACAAATCACAGCCGAGATTTTGAGAATTTAGACGACAAAGCAACATAAAGGCGGTCCCAGAAACTGTCACGTGTCACGCAGATGGTAGAACCCGTTGAAAGTTGGATGCAAGACATAGTAAGAGGCGGAGTCTTGTGAAAACGCACAGTTACTGAAATTACCAACCAGTTGCATCAAAAATCCAACCTGTGAACACCCTGAGGATGGGTTATTGCTTCACGTGTGCAAAGGGTTGAAAAGGACACGTAAACTGTCCAGGGTCACGTGGCACTTTGCGCCGTTCTACAAAAATTCGACCAGAATTCAAACGGTCAAATAGAGAAAAGGAGGCTGTAAAACAGGTATAGACAGAGAGAACAGTTTGTCCGTCAAGTGTCGCAAGTAACAGCGGAGATGACACCGCAATAGGCAGCCAAGTATCGCAACCAGACAACGCGACGGCGGAAAAATTGTAGCGCGCACATTGTCACTCGTTACCTCAGAACATCCAGTCTCAAGGGGTCAGGACAACAAACAGACCGGCGTTTCAAAATGAGACAACTTATGCGGCGATAATTCGAGAAGGGTTGATTTTCCTACCGAAAAATCAGTTTAGCTAGCATTAGCCGACTCATTTGAAAGCCCAGCGAAGTGGTGGACCAACAGGTGGCGACATTGATGGAACAGAAGCGTGTTGTGTGTCAAAGCGTGGATGAACACAGCAGACATCGTGGTGCAGTTTTCCCAGGGAGACTAAGGTACAGTGTAAATTCATTATAATTATTAAATTAAAGTGTTTAGGGAATAAATATTCAGAATATATCTTTAACATTTGGAATTCAATAAGGCATTTCGATGAACAATAGTAGCAAGAACATATGACTATAGATATTTCAGTGTGTGCCGAATAAAGTGACTAAGATCCGAGAAGAGATATTACGTGACAGTGCTTCAATTAGTGATCAGTTTACAGTTGTGGGTGAACATTAGCGATACCGATACAGCGTTTCGTGGATCGTCAAGATAGATAACAGGACCAGCAGCGAACATAACAGTAAAACTAGAATTAGTATACTGAATTATTTATTTCTAGTTGTAATTTTTTTTTTTTTTTTTTGGTTGCTAATAATATCTTGTATTTATTTCAGTAGGTTATAATTACTGTGAATAATATAATCATTTTGATATTTATTTCTGGTTGTAATTTTTTTTCTTCAAATAATATACTCAGCTTGATTTGTGTCATAGTTATCGGAAATAATTATCACTATCACACATCAAATTGGATCACAGTTTTTGAACACTTGTGAATGACTGGTGAAGCAATGAGGTATCTACTTGACTTTCCAACAATGAACCAAAGGATCAGGATGTGGAGGGCTCGGGCATACCTCAAAATATGTGCTGATAAGAAACACCCACTGCATCAAGCGCTTTTTAGTGAAAAGGGCGACAGACTGAAGAGGGGAAAATCGTGGCTAGGTCGGGCAGAAGATGTTATTAGGCAAATATGCAGCCTAACCGACATCATACCTGGTGCAGAATGGATACCTGTGCCTCAGGCGTTTATTTGTACATTTTCCTGTATTGTCACACTCAACAGGCGATGTAGAGAAGAGAATCCTGTTGCTGTTAATGCAGAGGTCAACGCTCTCATCGGTGAAAATTCAGACGAAGCAGATGCACTAATCTATACAGACGGATCCGTTATACGCCAAAGAAGAAGCGCATGGGCATTTACAGCACGCTCAGCGGGCAGAACAGTCAAAGAAGCCAACGGTGCCTTCTCCATGACAACCAGCAGCATGACGATGGAGGTGATGGCAGTGACGCAAGCGTTTGCCTGGCTTGAAACACAAAAATACACCCGCATATGTATACTCAGTGATTCAATGAGTATGATCCGGAGGGTTCAGGCAGGTTCAGTGCGAAGACAATGGCTTGAATCATTACAGAAGTCCACTGTGCGTGGAGTCACCTTTATTTTTGTTCCGGGACACGCAGGCGTCGATGGAAATGAAAGAGCTGACAGGCTGGCTGGATCCGCTATCACTACCGACGGTCGGCATATGGATCATGCTGATATTATCAATGCCCTCAGAGAAATGGGAAGGATAGAGGACTTTGGTGGCAGTGAATCCACATCACTCGCCAGAATGGCAGACTTGGGAATTAAGATCGGCACAGCAAAAAAACGAGACGCACACCGGACACGTCAGAAGACTTGTTAATCAACATAGAACTGGTACTATTAGCCATCGGACGTTGGGGTTCATACTGAGGGGAGGATCTGAGCACCTATGGACATGTCCGGAGTGCAATAACGATAACCCAACTAACTAACTAACTAACTGGTGTCAGTTACCATCAACACACATAGAAGTGATTACAATTTTGAACAATTTTCATTGAGTAGTGTATAGTTCCATAAATTAGAATTATTTATTAGACTTGGTGGAATAATTTAAAGATAGTATTGCCAATTAAATTTAAATTTAAATAATTAGGTTGTGAATATTGACATTATTAATACATTATTGAAATTTAATTAAACTAAATTTAATTGTTGTATGTATATTTTTGTGTGTGGTGAATTTCAGTTTTTTCTAGGATTGTTGATTAATTGTGAGCTATCATTGCAGAAGTAGTCCTAGTGGGTATAATAAGAGTTTACAGCGGATCCTGAGCAGTAGAAGTCTGAATCGCACTGAAAGTCACATCTACGTTTAAGAGGGTAAAGGACAAGGTCATTTCTAAAAAGGGTAATACTTAATACACTTTAGCTCGAAGTAGAAATTTACACATTGAAATAAGTATTAGAGTTCTTTAAAGAAAATTAGAAGGGTAGTTTAGTTAATTTTCTAATACCTAATATCTAATATCTAATACCTAAGTTTCATTATTGTTGAGTGGAATTTTTTAAAATTTACTTGTTATTGTGTTACCATGGTTGAGAGTGTCGTGGAACAGGTTCCTTTTACACTCACTAAAGTGGTGTTATCTTGTTAGGAACCGAGACAACTGTCTTTTAGTGCAAAGAGCAGACAGTGTCCCTGGATACTCAGATACAGACTCGAATTGGCTCGCGAAAGAAGGTGAGCTGCCTGAATATCCCCAAAATTCAATCATACTATTTCTTTTGAAAATACATATTCAAACTAAGTAGGATGAGAGATATAAATTGATAGTAACATGAAACTGTCGTTCAATGAGAGGGTCAGTGTGAAATAACATACCACATTACCACCCCCCCCCGGGGAGGTTTCCCGGAGGATCATCCATTTCAAAGACTGATGTTGGAATGTTGAAGGGTCTGTCCCAAGCACCAAGATCTTCCTTAGGGCACTCCCAATCATTAGCTACAAACCAGCATGGCAGTGCGTGATTTGGAAGCTCGTCCTGCCACAAGGAATCTGTCATCGGCTTTTCAGACAGCTAGGGATGGAAACAATCAAAAAATTATCTATCCCTGCCTGTTTTGCAAAATAAATATATTTCCAAACTTTCTCCCTCTCTCTTCATATTGTCCGAAGTGGGATAATCGTCTATAGTAGCATTGTCCCATTTACATAGCTTCCACTTCTGACTACTGTCTCAGTCCAGATGCATGTCTTCCATCTTCTGTCCTTCAGGATGATAGTGAATGCTCCCCATTTTTTCCACAGACTCAGAGCAGCAAATATGCAGTTATAAATGCAACACCAATCAGACAGAATGTTTATAGAATTCTCTCTATACATAGTGAGAATTCTAGATAAAAGGTCTGGGCCTTTCCTTTTTCCAGATATTCCCCACTGTGCGGTTATTTTCTGGTTGAATCCTTTCTTTTTTGTGAGGGGCTAAGAAAAACAGTTTTCCCAAGTGGGTAGTTTTCTCGGACAGCATCGTCTCCTCAAAAAATCACAGCATTTAATACTGGCTGTGTATAAGTAAAATAATACATTAATAACATCATGGGGGATAAATACATTTTTCAATAACCTGAAAAAAACAAAATTCA